TCAAATTCGTCAACAGTGGGATTTGAACCCCAGACCTCTTGCATGGCAGTCTGGCAACCTAACCACTACACTAAGATCACTAGACCATTAAATAACAGATTATAAAAATGTATATAAAAGATAAATATTAGGATAATATAAGAATCTAATAATAATCTAATATTTATCTTTTATATACACTTTTATAATCTGTTATTTAACAGATATTTAGCAGATCAATAGCTAAATAAAAGTAAAATAATGATGCATATTAGTATAATATTTAAAATGTATATTAGAAGTATAAAAGAAAAAAAATAATATAATACTTCTCTTCCTTTATACTTTTGATATATATCTTAAATATTATACTATATACTTCTTTTATTTCACTTTTATTTAGCTATAGATCTACTAAATATCTGTTAAATAACAGATTAAAAAATATATACAGTATAAAAGATAAATATTAGGTTATTATTAGATTCTTATATCATTTCAATATTTATCTTTTATATATATTTTTATAACCTATTATTTAACAGATATTTAGCAGATCTATATATAAAAGATTATAATATATATAAATCTTTGTATATATTTTGATATATCACTATTTTTTAATATTAATTAATAGTATTTTCTTAATTTTAATAGTTTTATTATTATAAAATATTATATATTTATATAATTAATTATATAATATATTAGATAAATCTATTTAATTTTTTTTGACTAAAAGTTTCTAGAAGAAATATTATTACTTAAATAACCTCTACTATAATATAGTCTGGTAGTTCTACAGATATTAAAAGACAAATATCAGTATTATATTCACTTGATTCTAAATTATAAAAATAATTAGCATTAAAGAATTAAAATAATTAATTAGAAATCTCATTTATATAATACTAAATAATATCTTGTGAATTATTATTAAATTCTATATTTATATTTAAAATATTAGAAAAATATAATTAAAATTATATTACTGTTATAATAATTAACAATATATTATCAAATTTCTAATTACTTTTACTAATAGATTTACCTTTATCTCTTATTAACTTAGCTACATTATTTATATTATCATTTTTATCACTAGTAGCAACTAGTTCAAATTCTGTGTTTAAAAAAAAAATGATTAAAAATTGTAATACAAATAATTAATAAATATCAGATTTATACTAAAACTATTACTAGACATATTTTTAAAGGAATTACTAGATATTTTTTGAAGAGAATTACTAGATATTTTTTAGAGAGAATTATTAGATATTTTTTGAATATTTTATCAGATATTTTTTGAAAAGATGTTATTAGATATTTTTTGAGAGGCATTATTAGATATTTTTTAGAAGTCATTACTAGATATTTCTGCAAAAGTATTACTACTAGATATTTCTGTGAGAGTATTATCACCAGATATTTCTATGAGAGTATTATAAGATATTTTGGTGAGAGTATTACCAGATATTTTTGTAGTGCATTACAATATATTTCTGTAAAAGCATTATCAGATATTTTTGTAAAGGTTTGTAGGAGGGAATTACTAGATATTCAATAAGAAATTAATCAAGATTTGTACTAGTAGCACTACTAAATACTATATTGAAATTGTTATAATATTACTAGTATTATATAATCACAAAATATACTATTCAAAGATATTAGATAGTAGTTAGCATTGTAATCAATATAATAATTATTCTACTAGGTTCTTTTAATTTTATTGGAATTTTTTACTATAGATATATTTTTACATAATAATAAAATATGCTTTAACTAAATTGATAAATATTAGTACTAATATTAATAAATATTTTTATCTAATATTTATCTAAAACTAAACTACTTACTTTTTTAGATTACTATTTTTTGTTTACAATCTTTATTACATGATTATGCTTTTCATTATCAGAACTGAAATATTGCCTTAGCTTATATTCTTTATTAGCCTTTTTGATATCAGTATTTGATTATTCATTACTATAGTAGGTACTATTATTTTTTATTTTTTTTAGATCCTTTAATATCTAGATTCTTGACACAAATCACTAACTCTTTCTGATGATCACTTGTACCAAATTCTCTTGAAAAAAACTTGCAATATCTTAAAATTCTACT